GTTCAGGGTTTAGGGTTCAGGGCGCCTGATATGCCCCACAATCCCCGAAACCCCCAACTCCTAACCCTTAGGCCTTTTCCGGGGGATTCTAGGGACCCGTGTGGGTACATGTAAGTTTTACCTGAACCCCAAAGAACCTACCTTTTTAAGGGCGTAAAATAAGGAACCCTAAAAAGGTAGGTTATTTGGGGTCCAGGTATAGTAGGTATCTCGTAGCTTTCAGAAGGAGCTCTGGGTCTTTTAGGGTTTAGGGCTCAGTGTTAGGGGTCAGGGTCTCGGGTTTAGGATTTCAGGTTCTAGGCTTTAGAGCTGTCGGTTTCTAGAGTTTAGGGTTTAAGGTGTTAGGGATTTGGGTGTGGGTTAGAGGGGAAATTAGAATTAGGGACAAGGACGTACGGACTTTGAAGCTAACATACCCTTAACCTCAACCATTGGGACAGCGTTTTGGGGGCGTTTGTATTTCTTACAGTTGCAAACTGGAACCCAAGGAATAATGCTTCTAGTTTTCCAGCTTCTATGTTATGTCCCTGAAGCCCTACAGTCTTACAGAATCCTTAAATATAGGAGCCCGCGAAGGAACCCCTTTAATTTAGAGACCCCTGTATCAAGATGTGTGGTTGAGGACTAGGACATGTCGGTTGGTTGTGTCGAGGGTTTGGTCCGGGGAGGGTTTGGGGACTAGGGGGTTAGGCTTCGCGTTTAGCATTGGGGTAGGAGGGCTGCGCTCCCACCCAAGCACCGTAAAACAGGGCTGAAGACGTTCTGGAATCTCCCCGCCGCCCCTCCCCCCACTTTGAATGAGTAGCGAGGGATAACTCCGGCGCTGGGACCTCCGCAACGGCGGCAAGCTCCGGAGGGGGCGGCGGCATGGCCGTTGGCCATGCCGCAGGCGCAAGTCCCAGACCTGTGCGCCACCGCCGAATCCTTCCCACCGGCGTAGCTATCGCCCTTTCCTGAACGGCTCCCGAGTGCCCATCGCCTCCCCAGCTGTTCAGCTGGGAAAAAAGGCGGAAACTTTTCTCCAGCTGCCGCTGCTCGTCCTGGCTGAAGCAGCGGCGGGTGGCCGAATCCACGGAGGCAGCGGCAGCCGACCCCGCAGGCTGCAGGTCCCAGAGTTCGCGCGCCCTGCGCTGCTGCTCTGGTAGCTCCAGTGTGTCAACTCGAAGTAGGTTCCCCCGAAAATCCAGGAAGCCCCCCTGATCTCTAAACCCAACCCTTCTGAACGAAACTCCGTCCCGAACCCCTTAACCCTAAACCCTA